CCACGGGGATTAACACTACAACTGTATTGCCCTGGGGCAGGGTCATCTGCACTTGTCCATGATGTCATACGTCGAAACAGGCCACTGCTGGGATCCTTCCCTAGCTCCATTCCTGTTAACCATGTATTTGAAAAATGATCAAAGCTTTGCCAAATATAGTCTCCTGCATTTCCACCTTTGTCATTTCTCAGGACAAGATTCCAGAATCCAATAGCTGCAAAAAGGTCCCATTTGAGGATATGTTCTCCGCACCTGTAGACCAAACAATCCTCTCTGTCTGGTCTTGGAGGATGAAATTTCCATCTTTTGCAATGCTTACAACTCCTGATGAGTCATTAAGCGGATTATTCCCATTTGCAACCCAAACAATGGTTTGTGGACTCATCTGAAAGTACCATATTCCCAAGTATCTATTTCTGGAGCTTCCGGGACTAAAGAAGCCAAACTCAAATACATTTCTCGCAGATACCAAAGTCATGCCATCGGTGATTGCCCCTGGTGGAGTCAGCATGTCAATTGCCTGGGAGATTTCAATCAGGCAAATTATCAGGAATATACTGTAACAAAAACCCACAAAAGCAGCAGCACGACTGCCCCTGGAAATGGTTGATCGAGACATATCACATTCATAGCTGTCGATATGAATCTGTCGGGCCATGATTTTGGCTAGATGTTCAAAACTTGGAGTGACAGAGATGATCTTGTCTCTGATTCTTCAGTTCATCCTTTTCTCTAGAAGGGGTGGCAAAGAAGAAACTATCACGGGAACGGCAAGTGCAAGACTGCAAATTGTCCCCGGGTAAGAAACTGAACTCAAGTTCTAAGGCGTATAACTAACTTCATAACTGGTTTGTATCCGATTCTCGTTTCATATGTTTTGCAATCACTTGGCAGGAGTTTCAGTGAAATATAAAGCTGGAAGACGAGCCTGACAGGATTTTAGTGCTTCATTGGAGCACTAAATTCAACTCAGTTTGTCTGGCATTCTTCATTTGAACTCAACGTGACAAAGTCGCAGTTTTAGAAAGCATCCAACTCACACTTCGACACGGAATTTTCTGCCTATGGAGATTTTGAGAGTCAGCTTTGAATGCAATAGTTGTATGTCTTTTGCGTGTTCAATATATACATAATACAGTACATTTGGTTACACCCTTGCGGAAATTTTCTTTCTAAATTTTAAATGACTCTATTGTATTGAATCAATTGATGTTAGAGCTAAATGTTGAACAAATCAATGAGGGTCCTTCAGAATTCTGTCCAGAGCGGTACTCTAATTAATCAAACCTGAATGGTTTTTAATGTTAATTAAATATATAGACAAGTTAAGCTCGATGGATATAAAATTCCAAATTCGTATATAAAAGTAAATTGATTCAAGTGTATAAAAAACATTCAAATGGTAGTCAATTAAAACGTTCATGAATTGTATTTTTTTTTTTTTTTGATCCGGCAATGTACCAATCACAGTGGGGAGAGGATAATTTGTGCTTTTCCAGACAATGCTTTCTAGTCTCAATAGAAAGGATCGAACAAAAATTAATTCCATTTTTAAGCTGCTGGCTTGGCCCTTTGGTAAAGATTTTCAACTGTTTCGTTGACTTTTTGTGCACCAATTTTCAAGACTTGCACCATTTCTTATGTTTTTATCTATGTTTTCAGAACCGGACCGGATATCGACTCGGTCGAGCTCAGGGGTCAATGGGTTCAACCGGGTTCGATAGGGGTTGAACCAGATGACGTCATAAATAAAATTTATTTAAAAATTAAAATATTATATGTAAAATACTTAATAACATGTTAATATTAATAAAGGTATATTCATATATATTTGATGTTTCAAATATATTTAATAAGAAAATACAAATAAATTAGAGCAATCAAGTAACAATTTATATTATTGAATAAGCATTAACAAGTTTAGAATTAAAATTATGGACTTAATTGAAAAATAACACCAAACTTTAAGACAACATTTATAAAGTATGAAATATTTGAGATATGTTAATAATTTTTAACAACTTAAGGATCAAAACATCATATTAAAAATATTCTGCCATTTCAAAAAAAGTAAAAAAAGAAAAAAAGAAAAAAAGAGACCGGGTTCATTTTTCAGGTCAAACCGGGTCAAAACCCGGGTTTTGACCTGGTTTGACCGAATTGTTGATTTCCCGGTTTTTAAGATTAACTCGGACCGGTCAACTGGCCAGTTCCCGGTTCGACCGGTCGAACCGAACCGGCCGGTCCGATCCGAGTTTGAAAACAGAGGTTTTTATCAATTTCACAAAAGAAACATTTATAAGTTGTGAGCAAACAGTGTCCATAGATATTGCTCTTCACGTCACGGCTTGCACTTTGCCAATCTTGCAAGGTAATTTCAATCTAGAGTCCAGAAGTTTAATTTAACTTTATCATGCGATAGGTCTTCTTAGATTAAACAAGGGACATGTAACTATGGTCAAAGTCTCGAATGCAGTTCCATTTGGATTGTTATTTTTAGGAGTTTTTATAGAAAAATATATTATAACGATTTGATGTATATAAGATAATTGATAGGTTACAATTTTATCATCTATTTTATTATTAATTTCCCTTATTATCCGATCTGATGTGAATTAATTGTTAAATTCTACTCACTTTTGAAGAATTGACATTTATTACAAGGAATAGAACGTAAATACCATAACAAGTGCCAATTTGATAATCATCAAGAAGGAGTGTAGGGATATTTTTAAAATATTAAGACGCGATCCTTTTTTATAATTTGCGAAAGACAGCATAAAAGAAGAAAAAAGAACGAAGGGCTGGAGTTTTCTTCCTCTCGGGAGGGGGGCGGGAGGCCGCCGCACAGTAGAGAGGAGGCACTACTTTGGAGTTACTATGTTTGACTTTTCGTTCTTAGTTTTCGTTGTGATAATTCTCCCTCGGATGTGAGGAGAAATTAGGAGCTTTTGTTGACTTTTCCTTTGTGAGTTTTTGGAGTAGTTCCCAATTCACGCATGTCAGGAGTTTTAGAACTTTGACTTTGCCCTTTTCGTCTCTTAGTAGCTTTGTATGCCCGCATGGCAGGAACAATGGGAAGATTCAACCATTCTATGCAGGTTTCGTTTCCTCTGATTATTTGAACGAATTGAACTCTCGGAAATCAGAGACAATGGCCGCGACTCTTGCCCCAGTTTTGTATGGTTTCTTCTCATTAAGTATGAACTAATTTCTGCACTCTAATCAGGGAACAACGGATACTTTGAATCGCCTAAAATTGTGAGATCGATTTAATTTTATTTTTTCTTTTTATTTATTGGTATTCGTATATTTCTCGATTGTAGTGTTTACGATTATTTGATTAATTGATTGTCTTGGATCCGGATAATTAGTTAACTTGATAATTTACTGTCAATTAAGGCATTAAATCCGTAATTGTTTAATTGCCTTGAATTAATGACAACTGGCATGATTAGGTTTGTGTCAGGAGGGATACGCGGGCTAATCTAAAATAACCCTGGTAGTGCGTTATTTGGTTAGAATATGGCTCCTCTAATACGTAAGGCAATTGCGGAATTAAATCTTACGGGCGTACCTAGGATTATTTCTCAATTAGAGTAGTGGTTAACGGGCGTACCTTAATCACCGACATAGTAAGGAGGGGTTGACTGTCATCGCTTGTTTGGCAGTTATAACCTATTTATTAGTAAATAATTGGATTTGGTTTTGCTTCGATGATCAATTAGGTGCACCATTGCTGAAGTTATTTCTTGGCTAGAGCCTTAGTTATCATTCATTTGATTTTAGTAACTTGTTATTTAATTTTTAATAGTTTCTTAGATTTTATTTGAATTTCTTTGATTGTCATCTTCTGCACAAAAACACCCCCTTTGTTACTGTGGATTTGAAAAGAAACAATTACTCTCAGTCCCTGTGGATTCGACCCTGCTTACCACTATTTACAAAAACTAACTTTAATTGAGCAGGTTTTTATTATTGCACAGGCTGACAACCTGTCAATAATAGAAATGTGTTTACGAAAATCATAAAAAATTTTCTGCGTAAAATCATATTCCAAACATAGAAACTATGATGCTGTCTAAGTAAAGAAACGTGGGGGATATAACCGTCATGTGGTATGTGTAATATTATATTTATAGGTTTGTTTGGATTGCGATTTATTTGCCAAAATATATTTGCTTACATTATCATTACAATTTTCAACACACCTTTTTATCTCACATACATCACATCACAAAAAGTGCTACAGTAAAAATATCTCTAATAATTCACAATCCAAACAAACCCATTGAGTAAACTCTTTCTTGTTTGGGCAGCTTTTTGCAGCAAAAAAAAAAAACCTTCCAATTTCTTGTTTTCCTAGCTGAATTTTGGAAGTCATTGACAATAATTTCCAAGGTCGAAATTACCTACTAAATGGGTCTCCACCTTGGTTCGATAGAAAAATTGGATGCAAAATATCAAGCTTCATAAGTTTTGCCTTGGTTATACCCACTGCGAGACAGGAATTTAACTTGAATATTAGGTATTAACCAATTCGATCTTCCTCGCTAAAACGAAATGAAATATATTAATCAACATTAAAACGTTGAAGAATACAGCATAAAGGATCTCAAGTTAAATAATACACGAAGAAATGCAACTCTTGAAATTTAGGTAAATGATACTAAAATAACGACACAACAAGACATCGTGCTTTAATTAACAGTAGAACTGGAGATGTGAGCATCTCGTCAAAGTAGGTGAATTCTCTTCATACGATCCTACTTGCAAGTATCTCAGTTAAAAATTAACAGAGAGCTGAATTCCAAACCTTGCCAAATGGGGTAGAGCCTTCATTCTTCTACCCCTTTCTTCTCTTATTTTCTCTGACAACACCAAAGTCAAATAAAAGAAAATGCTTTTCAAGAAATCTTCCCCCACTTTATCCCTTGTCATCCTAGTTTATGATTCCTGCATATTTACTTATCATGAAATTGAATTCTGGTATCGGCCAAAGCTCAAACCAAAGTCCAAACAAAATTTACATTTGAACTGATTAATATGGAAGAGAAATTAACGTTCTGCAACATATACTATACACTTAGGAATGTACGCAAATGATTGCATTTACACACCCTTTAAATTCTTTTAAAGAAATATATACATGCTATGAACCAGAACTTATCGACCATGTAACAGTGTTACTGTTACATCAGTAGAATTATGCGGCATTTTCCCACTTGATGTAGAATCTGTGTCAATAACAGTTCTCTCAATGTAAAAACCAGGTTGTTTAGGTTGCGGAAGAGTTGGATTCTCACTGTCCAAAAGTAATAGAACAGTTGACATGGCAGGTCTGTCATCAGGCCGCTGTTGAACGCACAAGAGGCCAACATGGATACACCTCAACACCTCAGATGTAGAAGCCGCCCCCTCCATAAATGGGTCAACTAGTTTCGAAGTATTTCCTTCATTCCATAGTCTCCAAGCCTAAATTCAGAGCCACCCTCAGGTCAGTTGTATTATTCTCTACAAGATGTTTGTCAAGAAAGTATTGCAGTTAATTTTGGACTCACATGTCCCAAAAGGTTGAGGTCATGATCAGGATGGCAAAATCCTCTGTTCTTTTCACCACTAACTATCTCCAAAACCAGGACACCAAAGCTGAACACATCAGATTTAACTGAAAACAGGCCATCTACTGCATACTCAGGAGCCATATAGCCACTACATGGAAACATGGAAGAATATTCATCATTTGCAAATTAGCTACTGATGTCTGTGAAAAAGAGGCAGGGATAAGAAAATGTGCTTACTATGTTCCCATGACTCTCTTGGTGTTATCCTGGTAATGTTCACAACCAAATGTTCGTGCCAGGCCAAAGTCAGAGATTTTAGGATTAATTTCACTGTCGAGAAGAATGTTGCTTGCTTTCAAATCCCTATGAATTATTCTCAACCTGGAATCTCGATGAAGGTATAGAAGTCCCCGAGCAATTCCAACAATTATGTCAAAGCGTTTTCTCCAATCAAGTACTTTTCCTCTTCCTTGATCTATGATGTATTCAACTTATGTTAGCCTCTTTCATTTAAACAAAATGAGCATCAGAAACTATAGGAAACTTACTGAAGATGAATAAGTCCAGACTCCTGTTGGGCATATATTCATATACTAACATTCTCTCATCCCCATGAATGCAGCACCCTAGCAGCCTGACAAGGTTTCGATGCTGCAGCTTTGCAATTAAGATCACTTCATTTTTAAACTCTTCAATACCTTGTCCAGAATCTTTTGAGTCTTTCTTGACTGCTATTTGTTGCCCTGTTGAGAGGATACCCTGCAAAGCAACTTATATTTGAGTTAGAATAAGCAAAATGTCCTACAAGAAATGTTAAAGGAAGTCAATGGATATGTGACAGACACTACCTGGTAAACAGGACCAAATCCACCTTCTCCAATCTTATTTGCGAATGAAAATTGATTAGTAGCATTTGAAATGGTGATCAAATCAAATAAGGGTAACTCTATCTCGTCATCTGCAATTCTTTTGGTATTCTCCTGGCTTGCAGTCTCTTGTTCTTTAGCTGACAATTTAGGTAAAAATCGCATTAGACATCAATGGGAAAGGGAACCATCCAGCATCTAACCCCTTATCCTGAAGAATCAAGTTATATCCCTACTACTACGATTTGCTCTTGCCGGGTCGATCAAATTGCAGAAGTTGAGATCATATGTTTTACATTCTATCATACAACAAACAATCTATCTAATAATGACTGCTTAACAGTAATTGACCTCCTAAATACTAAATAACTTGAAAGCAGTTATTCCTCCAGCTGAAGAACACCTGCGCTACAGTTAGATTGCTATGCATGGTGGTTTCAAGTCCCCCTCTTTTCCGCTAGAGTTCCAAATTTTTAAGAAAACTAGTTGGCATGTATGACAAACTCCCACCACATCGGATTGGATTCTTTATTTTTTTTTCTCCTTATCTTTTTAATTCTCGTCGGAGGAAAAAAGAAAAAAAGAAAAACCCTGAGGTCCAAATTTTAGTCAAGGCAATAATCTCAAGAACATCCAATGTGAACCAAATCAACTAGGCGATGTGGCTTCATCATATCTAAAGATGAGATGAATCTGCATCGCTTGCCGTTTCAAATTGCATATCATCAAAATTAGAATATGTATTGACTAATGCTTATGAAATTGCACAAGAAAATGACTTTAATATGCCATACTCCAATTAGTGCCGCGTAAAATATTAAGGATGCTGAAAAAGTAAATTTGGTTGAACAAAATCCTAACAGTTTGAGCTGAAATTATCCACAAGTGGGTTCCTAAAAATATTCTTCTATATTCCATTGGCATTGAAAAACTGGACGTGACTTTTGGAATAGGCCCATTGGCCATAAGACTATTGCAGAACAAGTGGAAAAAGGTGTAATCTGTTTGCGTCCGAATATGAAGAAAACTTGCCAGATGACAAGGATGGTAAAACATATTTGTCAACTGAGGCATTTCGTCAAACATTTATAATGCAATAATAGCAAAGCTAGGGTTTACCTTGACCACCCTTTGCGGTCCATTTACGTAATAGACACCAACACAAGAGTCCCTAAAGCCACCGACACCGATATTATCAAAATATCCCTTTTGCTGTCAGACCCTTCCACAATCCATCAAGAATGACAGCGAAATACATTAGTATCACTTTTATTCATAGAGCCCACAAAGAAGGAAAAAAAAAGAAAAAGGGACGACTTGTAAGACTTTGCAGTTTGCAGTTTGCGTCCTTAAAGTTTTGTCAAGGTTCAGTTTGTGCACCAAACTTTTATTTCCAATAGTTTGTATCTTTGATTTGAGGTATAATTTCTGTTCCAATAGTCAATACTCAATATTTAACTGGACAAATGGTCATACTTGTTCCCTATGGTGTTGTTATTAACTTGTTAGATACATGAATGGATTTTTTCCATTTTCACTAGAACTATTAATTTCTGTAATAGGTTTAATTTCACTAGTAAGTTTGTATTCTTTTGATATTTTTAAAGTGCGAAGTGTGCAAATTTTGAAATGAAAAATTTCTTATCATTTTAAAGTGAAATTATGCATTTTGCAATTTTAAATGTGAGGGGCTACAACCAACAGTTACAAATATGAGGAATAATTCGTGCAACTTCTTCTTTTTCTATAGACAACTGAAAAATGTTTCTCGCTTGTGAAGATTAAGATATGCATATCAAACTCTTCTAGACATTGGAAAAATTAATATTTTACTATTATAAAACAACAATAGTCCAACTACTATGACTAAAAAATTTTAGTAATTTTTTTGTCACTGCGTAGTAAATGGAATAAGTTCCTCATAGATAGTAGGTGAACCACTTGGGGAGAATCATTGAAAGAATAAACCATTAGCAGTGTTCATGCACAAAAAAAAAAAAAAAAAAAAAAAGGTTTTGTGATGCCAATAATATAGCAATAGTTGCATATCTTTTGTTACCTGAGTGCTAATGTATCAATGATATATAATAGAAGCTGAAGCTTGGCTGCTATAGCAATATTATCATGTTGAGGGCCAAGTTGTATACCAAGTAGTGAATCACAAAATTGCAAATCAAATATACATCCAGTTCAAAAGTGAAGAAAAAGTTACTTTGATAAAATGCATACCTAGTTCAGAAGCAGGCATCCTAATGTAGAGGTCCTGTCCTCCATAATGGTAAGTCCTGACATCTAACAGATCACCAAACCAGACCACACATACACTACCATCAATCTTAGCATAAGCCGTGCAAGAGCAATTTCTCAAACAAGCCGCTGCACACTGCATTGGATCAATCGCTATTTTGTTTACCAGAAAATTCGCGGTATCAGGCAGCTTCAACTTGGAAAACCTTCTGAATCCCTCTGGTCCACTGCAATTCAATGCATTTTTTCGTACACATCCACCTGACCAGTCCATCCTTTGCCAATCCGCAGGAAGTTTTGGGGTGAACCCTGGTGGACAACTACAATAAGGGCTGTTATTGATGTTGCAAATGCCATAACTTCCACAGAGGGCATACTGGTCACAAGCATCGCTCTGCACCGTGGCTATGTCCACCCATTCGTTTCGCCTGATGCTCCAAGTTAGATGCTGAATAAGTCCTGACTGGTTCAGTACGAATCTAGAAACAATTGAATCATTAGTGTTCTCAAATGTGTAGTACTCATTATTTGCATCAAACACGAATTCTGGTCTAAAGACAGTGTTTTCTTCCAGGTCACCGCCCCCAAAGCGAACACCATCCCAGGGTCCGCTTCTGTATTGGATGGCTGATCCTTCGCTCAGAACAACTTGAGGAAGTCCGCCAGGATCAACTCTATACGTATAGGCTCCTGTGGATGGATCCTGCAAGCTTTTCCAGGATGTTAAGTACCATTCCTGGTTTGTTCTGAAGTTCCATCCAAGCTTCATTCCGGGAATTAAAGTATCACACGGATGATCAAAGCTCTGCCACAGATAGGTACCTGAATTTTTGCCATAGTCGCTACCATTTTTCAGAACAAGATTGCCATTGTCCAGCAGCTGCAATGTCGGATTACTGACCAGTGTTGCGGATGTATTCGATGCCCAGATGATAGAATTAGTGCTGTTGTTGATGATGACAATGCTTCCAGATGGTGTGATTGACAGGATACCTGATGAGCTTGGTATCGGATTGTCCTTGTTGGCAACCCATACCACTGTTTGCTCTGGGATGTTCTTGAACCAAATTCCAATGTATCTTTTGCTCACATTTGACGGACCAAAGAAGCCTAACTCGAATTTTCGGCCAGCTGAAGCTAGTGTCCCCCCATTGTCTAATAGAACTTGATTTGGTGCCAAGAAGTCAACTGCCGAAGAAAATTGGCAGAAGAAGGGTGAAGCGATCGAGAAGATGATGAATAGGATGACCATCATTCATGATCTCAATCACCGAGCTCTAGATCATGTTTATTGAGTTGAACAAGACAGGAATGATAATAAAAAAAAGGTAAAACAAAACTTGCAAGATTTGGACTTTGAATTGTGAATTGAATAGTTCAGATTTCAGAACTGGTAACAAAAATTCCAAGAATGACTTTGACTGGGTCAAATGCTAAGTGGTAAAACAATTTTTCGTGATGAGATAAAAGAGAGAGAATAATTGTGAACGCTACTAAGACAAAAATAGATGTGGCAATTTGGATTGAGATCCATTTATTCAGTTGTAATATTGGTTTTAAATGGTTGATCAAAGTAAAACTATTAAATTAAATAAATTTATATGAATTATCCACAAAAATCACATATATCCATTTACTTAAAAACCAAATTGGTTGCAAAACTTATTAGCTAACTGAAATCCCGAATTTGTTGACTAAAGCCGCACATCACAGCTAGCTTGAGTTGGCTTGTCCAAGGAATTAAATAACCGTTGAGAAGTGGTGCAAGCAGGGAAGGATGCTTCTATTATAATCATGGTCAATGAAGCTGAATTATGTGGAGCTTTTCTTGAATTGGGTCTAATTTCTGAAGGTTTTTCTGTATTAAATGCATTAAGAATTTGCCAAGAATAGAACTTTGAGGTTATGCATGAACTTGTGCCATTAGCCACTAGGTGTAGATCATGGATGCCTTCTCTGAGTGTTCAAGTCCTTATGAAGATGATTTCACAGCGCAGAGATGGTCCACCCACATATTCTCCTCTTTTATTAGCTAGTGGCATTGGCATGCCTTCACTAGAACATGCCTGAGTAATGGGCTGTCACTGTTCATACCTAAATTCTTAAATGAAAAATCTAAGTATTTTGTCCTCTTTCTCGTCCAAATACATCTAAAATTTACAAGTACATAAAAAAAGTATCTCCATATTACAAGAAATGGTAATACAAAAAAAAAGTAACCAAAATATTTAAATGGATTATAAATGGATAATCGATTTTTATTTAATCCATTTAGATTCATTTATTAAATGGATCTAAATGGATTGGATAAATTTCATCCACCATCCATTAAGTCAAAACCAATTATGAACCATTTATCCATATTGCTATCTCTAGACAAAAAGCAACACCTTCGGGCAGAAATTGGTGAGACTCGAACTCTTGGTGCCCCATTCTGCATTTTTAGCTATGAAAAATTTCTTCCTTACTCAAGAGTCAGGACAAAAAGAAAAAGATTTTTAAACAGCACCAGAGAGGATTGGATCAGTTGAGCATACAATAAATTTCCATCTCCAAGATGAACACTTGCAGAAACTTTCCAAACATTTTTCGTCACTTGGAGGTGCTAAATTGTCCCTTCCTATGCATCCTGTTTATCTAACCAGCACCAATTGTATTAATGAGACAAACATGAACATAAATTAACAGAAAATCAATCACAAGCATCTATGTACAATGTTCATATGATTCCCAATATTTGGAGTCATTCGACATATGAACACGGAAAAAAAAGGGCTTGTTTCAGGGAGGATATAGCCAAACTCTTAGATCATCTTTGACACTTAACAACTAAGCCATCAGGCATACCAAAAGATCTTAGCTATACTTAAAACATATTGTGTTTATGATATTTGCCAGGTTTATATTTCTCGATATTTCTGTTTGGTGAAGGTAAAAGTATTGCAGGCTTATACAAGTCGTCTACTCCATGTTCTTGAAATACTAGAAATTGAGTGGATGATGTTAAAGGATTTTTATCAACAGCATAATTAATACCTAAACAGCACTTCTATCAAGAAGGTTTCAAAACGTCAAATTTGTGTCAGATGTATGGAAAGAGGAGACATAATTCATATTGAATAGAAACTGATATAGGGGACAAGGGCTTAATCTCGTACACAGAGAATGAGCTTTGTCTTCATTATATGGAATATAGGTCAATTTAGATCATGTAACTGGCTACTACCGTGAGTTGACAGTTTACTGTTATAATTTCTACTAGATCTTTTACATTTGCTTTCTTCAGTATGTTGCATCTTCCTCTGTAGAAAATGTGGAAGCTTAACTTTGCTTAGTTCCATCATTCCATCTTCGGAAACCAAAAGAAAGAACGTACAGATGCAACATGCATTTGGTTTGCACCATTTGAAAGTAGACATTTCTTCTTCTTCGTTTCCTCCCACATAATATGCTTCTCCAGAGAAATAATTAATACCTAAACAGCACTTCTATCAAGAAGGTTTCAAAACGTCAAATTTGTGTCAGATGTATGGAAACAGGAGACATAATTCATATTGAATAGAAACTGATATAGGGGACAAGGGCTTAATCTCGTACACAGAGAATGAGCTTTGTCTTCATTATATGGAATATAGGTCAATTTAGATCATGTAACTGGCTACTACCGTGAGTTGACAGTTTACTGTTATAATTTCTACTAGATCTTTTACATTTGCTTTCTTCAGTATGGTGCATCTTCCTCTGTAGAAAATGTGGAAGCTTGACTTTGCTTAGTTCCATCATTCCATCTTCGGAAACCAAAAGAAAGAACGTACGGATGCAACATGCATTTGGTTTGCACCATTTGAAAGTAGACATTTCTTCTTCTTCGTTTCCTCCCACATAATATGCTTCTCCAGAGAAAACTTTCTGCGCTCATTTCGCATATTGATTACTTACCCCGAGTGAGAGGTGATTGACTTGTAAGTTGTGACCATGTAACCAAAGCTAATAACTGTACAAAATTGGAAGACTCTTTGAATTTCTCAATCTTATCTTCCTTCCACTGCTGTGATAGTTAGTTCATTGCCTGTATTTGAATCTTGACCACTCCATGATGGGTCAATTTTGAAGGGGGAATTTTCTGTAATAAAACCAGGTTCTTTGGGTTGTGGCAACTCCACATTTTCGTTACTTAGCATGAAAACCACAGTACTCATAGCTGGTCTGTCTTCAGCTCGTTGCTGCACACACAAAAGCGCCACTTGGATACACCTTATGACTTCTTTTATTGAAAATGATCCATCCAGCATCTCATCAACCAGTTCAAGACACCTGTCTTCATTCCAAAGTTTCCATGTCTGAAACAAATTCAGTTCAATGAAACAATCATTAATTACAAATAAATTTGTTCTACTAATACGCAAATTTTCAGCTGAAGTAAGTATCAATTTTCTTTGTGCACTTACATGTCCTATCAGGTTATAGTCATGTCCTGGATCATAGAATCCCCAATTCTTTCTGCCACTTATTAGCTCCAACACTATAACACCAAAGCTGAATACGTCTGATTTTATGGAAAAATGACCACTCATTGCATACTCAGGAGACATGTAACCACTGCATCAGAGTACAGTGTTCAGCAACATCAGTGAAAAAACTGTATCAATCGAAGAGAAAGGTAAAGAAAAAGAATTGCCATTCCTAAATCTTTTTCCTCAGGTATGACAATTACTTACTATGTTCCGATTACTCTCCTAGTCTTTTCTTCTGTTTGCTCTCCTCCAAAAATTCTTGCAATGCCAAAGTCTGAAATTTTGGGGTTCATCTTGATATCAAGCAAAATGTTACTTGTTTTTAGATCTCTGTGGATAATTCTCAATCTGGAATCCTGGTGAAGATAAAGCAGCCCTCTTGCAATCCCCAAAACAATATCGAAGCGTGTATTCCATGGCAGTAGCTTTCTTTTCACTCGGTCTATAATTGCATATGCAATTAAATTTGTAGGTAAGCCAATTTAGTTTGCCGTGAAAGAGAGATAACTAATGGAGCTACAGGTATTGAGGGTTAGTGCTGGTACCGAATATAAAGTTGTCCAAGCTTTTGTTTGGCAGGTACTCGTACACTAACATTTTTTCTTCTCCTTGAATGCAGCATCCAAGTAGCTTAACAAGATTACGATGCTGAAGATTTGCAATCAGTTTGACTTCATTCTTAAACTCTCTTAGGCCTTGCCCCGAATCCTGTGAAAGCCTTTTTACTGCTATTTCTGATCCGTTAGGTAGTTTACCCTGTGGCACCAACACAAGAAAAAACAACATATTACCTCTGAAGGATCTGATTTCCCTTTGTAAGCTAAAAACTAATCATCCATAGAAAAGTTGAATACCTTATAGACTGGACCAAAACCACCTTGTCCAATCTTATTGCCAAAAGCAAATTGGTCCGTAGCATCAACAATGGTTGCAAGACCGAATATAGGCAATTCGAGATCTTCGTCTTGACTTTCTTCTTCATAATGGTTGTAAGAATTGTTGTCATGGGCTGAACATAGATATGTAATAGATGAAGCAAGGTTAGTGTGATAAGGTTTTCCTAGTTTTCAAATAAAGAGATACTTTCAGTGGAATCATTAAAAAAATTCTGAATTTAATTCTAGTGGCTAAAATCCATTAAGTGCTAACTCTCTTGACAAAAAAGCCAAATAGTGGTAGTCACAAAACCTTAGCTGAGAAATAGGTACTGTAGGGTAAGTATGAGATACCTATTGGCATAGAAACCGTATCCTCTTCTGCTCTTCTCTTAACTCTTTTCATCATTTGCCAGGCCATAGCCAAGAGAACCAGAAGAAAAGCTGTTGATATGGAGATTCCAATAGCTACTCTAATACGCTTTCTCCTTTTGTTTTCAGCAATTGAATCTGGCAGTTACATTATGTCTAAGATGAGAATCAAAATTTTGAGTAAAAGCTCAGTATGCAGTTATTGCAACAACCACCCTGGGATATGCCACTTGTAGTTTTGTATCTCCTCTGGGTATCAATAAGCTTCTTACCTACCCAAAAAAACCCTGTAATCTCGCTAGCAGAGTTGCCAAGGTGTTTACTGGCACTGATGCTTAAGTTTACCCAGTAATCCCTCTAAACAATTAAATGTGAACTAGAAGAAACAAAAAATTGTGAAGGATTCCTAACTGGACCTTCAATTTTTCTTTCGGTATTAAATCTGATCAGTTTTAGGTATGATACTAATATCAGAACTTAAAGCATTTTAATCCGCACTAAAATAACCTAAGATGAAAAGTTAAATCTCTGGACATACTTCAATACACTGGAGGAGTGAAATACCTCGGAAATCAAATCATTATTTCTGGTTTAGCTACAAAAGTCACTGTAGATTGAGGCAGTGAGGATAAATAAAGAAGGTTTTTGAATTGCCCAAAATAGTCTTAAAACATGGAGTAGTCCAATGATCTAAACATGGTTTCCAATTTCTCATAGATGAAAGGAATGTCCATTGCAGT